ATATTCAATTCTCGCCTGCTGGCTGGAAGGTCTAAGACACAAATTCCCATCAGAACTGAATTTTTTCTCTTTTAAAACTGAACTTGGCTGCCTGGTTAGCCCAGCCTCAAACAGGTACCAGGTAATGTCCTGGGAAGTAAAGGTGACTGGCAAGATGTTAACCACATCAGCCCTCATGTGTCAGCCGGTCTGTAAAAATATAGGTCCAGTACTATATGTCTGGCGGACCAGCGACGTAGAAGGGGTTCTGTACGTGACTGTACGGGAGCCACCATGGTGTAGTGACTAGATGATTCCCCGTGAATCCACAAGTCGTAGGCTCAAATCCGAGTGAAACCTGACCTTTTTCAAAGATGACCTTGGCACTCAGGTTGACACAGCCTTCAATGGGTACCAGGCAAAATGAGGAAGTAAAGGTGGAAAACCACATCACCTACCAAGTGTCAATCTATCTATAAAATATAGATCTAGCGCTGTGTATCTGATATGTTTGAAGGCGTGGACAAAGGTTTTGTTAACCCAAACAATAAGTTAGAAAGAGTCAACAGAAGATCCCTCATCCCCTCCCAAATCTGGGCTGATGTAAATGAAGGAGTTTGTCCCTTATTGATGTATGTCTTACATTGTGGTATATCCTATAGTGATGTATGTTCTACAATGTTGTTTATCCCATATTCTTGTATGTCCTACTTGTTGTATTTTCAGTATTGGTGTATGTTCTACATTATTGTATGTTCCTTATTGTTGTATGTTGTTTTATCCAGTCAGTGACAGCTGGGACATTTGGTTACAGACAAGGTGCTATGTATGTTGTATTTTTTTAACACAAGTGCCAGTTGTGACATTTTCAGTAGACTTATAATTTTGTCTGATTATTTGATGATGGAACTGAGACACCCGGGGTGGCGCCGGTGGCCCTGCATGTACCCCATGTACCGGGTGTCGTTGAGTCAATCGGTTCATATCCTAGTCTTTCTATGGGCTTTGTTCTTTATAAAAACAAGAGACTAGACTTGTTTTACTGCTTCTGTTTGCTGATTGCCCATGTTTGCTGATTGATGTATTTACTAGCTCTGAGGTCATCGTGTGTGTGCTGTTCTAACTTTATTGTGCATTTTCATTTGTGGGACGTGTGTGTGCAGTCATGCTGTTTAGTTTTTGCTTGTATCAAGCAAGAGAGAGAGAGAGAGAGATAGTGGTGGTGGAAGGGGGGGGGGGGGGGGGTATATACATGTGAATCTAGGTTTTTACATAAGGGTCTGTGTTCTGCCTACATGAGGTTTATCTGTGTCTGCTTACATGTGTTGCATCTGTTGGTGCTGCTTACATGTGGTGCATCTGTTGGTGCTGCTTACATATTTTGCATTTGTTGGTGCTGCTTACATGTGGTGCATCTGTTGGTGCTGCTTACATGTGGTGGATCTGTTGGTGCTGCTTACATGTGGTGCATCTGTTGGTGCTGCTTGCATGTGCATCTGTTTGTGCTGCTTACATTTGGTGCATCAGCGTGTGTTGCCTACATGTGGTGCATCTATTGGTGCTGCTTATATGTGTTGCATCTGCATGTGCTGCTTACATGTGGTGCATCTGTTGGTGCTGCTTACTTGTGGTGCATCTGTTGATGCTGCTTACTTGTGGTGCATCTGTTGGTGCTGCTTACATGTGGTGCATCTGTTGGTGCTGCTTACATGTGGTGCATCTGTTGGTGCTGCTTACATGTGGTACTTCTGCGTGTGCTGCTTACATATGTTGTATCTGTGTGTGATCTGTGTGGGCTGCCTGCCAATGTTAAAATGAATGTGTGGGGTGATGTGTGGTTGTAGCTGTGTTTAGTTCAGTCCACTAGCATTCAGTAAATGTGTGGGGGGTGACGTGTGGTTGTGACTGTGCTTAGTTCAGTCCATAAGCAATAAATAAATGTGTGGGGATGAAGTGTGATTGTGACTTTTTAGTTCAGTCCACTAGCATTCATTAAATGTGTGGGGATGACATGTGGTTGTGGCTGTTTGTGATAGTTTTTGATAATCATGTGAGCGGTCTTGTGGGAGGCAAGACCCCAAAATCTGCTTCATCTCATGGCTGCTGACTCTGCCAGGATGGGCAGCGACATTTGTTGGAGCCACAAACCAGCGCTACACCACAGACTGTGCCTCATTCTACCAGAGAACAAACCAGCGCTACACCACAGACTGTGCCTCATTCTACCAGAGAACAAACCAGCGCTACACCACAGACTGTGCCTCATTCTACCAGAGAACAAACCAGCGCTACACCACAGACTGTGCCTCATTCTACCAGAGAACAAACCAGCGCTACACCAGAGAGCGCTGACTGTGCCTCATTCTACCAGAGAACAAACCAGCGCTACACCACAGAGCCTCATTCTACCAGAGAACAAACCAGCGCTACACCGTAGACTGTGCCTCATTCTACCAGAGAACAAACCAGCACTACACCGTAGACTGTGCCTCATTCTACCAGAGAACAAACCAGCGCTACACCGTAGACTGTGCCTCATTCTACCAGAGAACAAACCAGCACTACACCACAGACTGTGCCTCATTCTACCAGAGAATAAACCAAACCAGACTGTGCTCATTCTACCAGAGAAAAAACCAGCATACTACACCGTTCTTTAGAATTTTTAATTCTACCAGAGAACAAACAAGTGCCAGATATTTTTTAAATTTTTAATTGATCTTTGATTATTCTACAAAATGTGTGTTACATTGATTGTTAATATGGATAACCCAGATTTGTCCGGATTACTAGATTGCGCACAAACATGGATGTTCTTGGATCTGTGATCCTGTCATGACTACCCAGGTTTTATGAAAGGTCCATCAAGTGCTGATTGGTTCAGTGCTGTATGCCCAGTGTGCAAAAGACCTGACAAGGTTATTTGACTTTGCTTGTTACAATGTGTTTCTCCCTGTGGGCTCCAGGGCCCCACTTTGAGATTTGGGGTGGGGGGGGTGGGGGGGGGGGGGGGCAACTCACTACCCACTAACAGTCTTGTTGTAAAAGCTGACTATTTAGGAGTTTGCTGAAATCAGATATAAGAGCGGCAGATATCACAGCCTAGCTGTGGACCACAAGAGACAAGGTGCCAACCGCCCATTAAAGGGTGAACACAGTAGAAGACGAACAATGCGTTTATGTCTGGAAGGGTAGACTTGGTCTGTATGTCCCCCCCACCCCATTGATTTTAGGGCCCTCATTCGAAAAAAAGGGGTGGGGGGTGGGTGGTGGACCACCGTCATCTCCCTAACAAGTCCAGTAATTAGGAGTTTTTTGAAGTCGGAGTCATCTGCCTAAGAGACAGAGAACCAACAGTCTGCATACAAATAAGCCAGATCTGTAAAACAGATTGCAAGAGATTAATGTTGGCAGTTTTGATGTTATTGTTGGAAGACTGATGTTGGGACACTTTATTGGTGGATAGTGTTGATGTCTGCAATACTGTCATTGTTCTCATTGATGTGAATCTGGGACATGAAAGTGTTAGAAAAACAAATGTGCCTTGGGTCACTTGTTTTGTGTTCACATCTTATTTCATATTCTATATATGTCCACATGCAAGCACACACACTCTCACACACATACATGCATACACAAAACATGCACACAAGTTGTTTTTCCAATGTCCACACACAGAGAGACAAACAACTCTTTCCCCCCGTGTCTACATACACAAAGACAAACAGCTGTTTTCCCCCTGTGTCCACACACATACCACTGTTTTCTTCCATGTGCACGCACACACACCACTGTTTCCCCCATGTGCACACACACACACAGCTGTTTTTCCCCATGTCCATATATGCAACTAATGTCCCCATGTCCATATACGCAACTAATGTCCCCATGTCCCCACATATTCATGCCTTGGAAGTTTACTGTTTCTATATTTCCCTAACATCAGTCTTCATTCACAACCATTGTCATCAGGTTCTTGTTAACTATACTTTTTTTAAACTCTAGCTGTTGTGAAATATCATTTGAATGCCTTATGTGTGACCTTCAGCATAAGCTGTGTGCCATGTTACTGTGACATCTGTCAGTGTCTGCAGACTTTGTCTAGAGAGGACAAGATATACTTTGGTTTTTTGCCTGACTTAACTTATGTTTGCAACGTTTTTTCTTAACTATATACACAATTATCTTGCAGAATATCTAGGTACCCTTTCAGTTGGTCTAGTACCCGGCAAATATTGTAAATTATGCTTTTGAATGTCATTTGTAGAATTTTTAACAAAAGTCCAACTTGAATTTGTGAGCTTAATTGTTGTTTCTGACTTTATCATTGTTTGTTTACAGTGTCATTTGTTGTTGTGGTTACTGTCATTGATTGTGATGTACAGTCATGGATTGTAGTGGTTGCTGTCATTGATTGTGATGTCCAGTCATGGATTGTAGTGGTTCCTGCAATTGATTGTGATGTCCAGTCATGGATTGCTGTGGTTACTGTAATTAATTGTGATGTCCAGTCATGGATTGTAGTGGTTGCTGTCATTGATTGTGATGTCCAGTCATGGATTGTAGTGGTTGCTGTCATTGATTGTGATGTCCAGTCATGGATTGTGATGTCCAGTCATGGATTGTAGTGGTTGCTGTTATTGATTGTGATGTCCAGTCATGGATTGTAGTGGTTACTCTCATTGATTGTAATGTCCAGTCATGGATTGTAGTGGTTGCTCTCATTGATTGTGATACAATCCGTGGTCATATATCACAATTAATGACAGCAACCACAGCAACCCATGACTGGATATCAAAGCATGTTGACCCACTTTTACCACCCACTGTAGCACAGCATGTTGTCCCACTGTCTCTTACATTAGAGCAAAGCCACTGTAGTTGAGCCTGAGCTCATTGTCCCACTGTCTCTTACTTTAGAGCAAAGCCACTGTAGTTGAGCCCAAGCTCATTGTCCCATTGTCTTTTACTTTAGAGTAAAGCCACTGTAGTTGAGCCCGAGCTTATCGTCCCACTGTCTCTTACTTTAGAGCAAAGCCACTGTAGTTTAGCCCGAGCTCCTTGTCCCACTGTCCACTGTGTGGATGTTGACACCACAGCCATTGCCAGCCCCGACTGAGCACAAACACTGGTGCCCCACTGCACCCCGGACACGAAGCTGTAGTATAGATGTACCTTGTCAGACTGTCGCGGTTTACCATTGACTCCACCTGCACGTACTCACCCACCGAGACATGTTTGCTGCAACCGTGAGGATGAGACACTATGACTGTCAGTTTATGGTCCTCCTTGTCGGGGTACTTGTGTTTGACAGCAGCGTGCAAGGACCGATACTCGCAGACCATCTTCTCCAGCTTCTCTGCTAGTTCCATGTCATGGGTGGTGAATGTCAGATCGCAGTAGTCACTTTCGAAATCATGCTCTGCCTGTGCTTTCCTGCAGGATACCAGCGTTGTGCTGTCCAGATCTGGCAAAGTCCCCTTGTCAAAGAACAAGTAGCACGTCGTATGCTCGGCCTCTGTGCGGTCGTAGACACCATGTGCTGCTGTGCGTATTTCAATCTCTGCAAACTTGGTTGCTGGGGTGGGTGACTGGCGACAAGCATCGCACAGACAGGCTCTGGTCGGACTGCGTGGCGCTCTGTCTACGTATAATACCCAGCCAGTGGAGTGTCTAATATGTGTTGTACTCCCTCGGTTTTCAATAAATGGATACGGTTTGCTAGAGTTGGGGAAGGTGTCTGGTCTCTTTAGACTTGTAACGGAACATCTGATGAGGACGGTCAGGTTAGCTAGAGCCTGGATACACTTGACAAGAGTGTCGTCTTGGTAACCAGGTAGCAGGTGATCTTCCGTGAACTGATATACAGGTATAAACTTCTTGTGGTCGGACTTTTTCGTACAGGCTGTAAAAGTACAAAGCTCTACTGCTTCTGCCTGAGAGCTCACTTCAAATTCAAGTTGGTCTGGATAGAAAAAAAAAGACATAAAAATAAAAAGGTCTAAATTATAGGAACGAAAGTTAAATGAGTCGAAAACAAATTCCTAACGTTATTTGTGATTATTAAATGGGATATATTCAAGCGAAAAGAGCAGTGAAATCATATTTTAAAACTCAAAATACCAAGATCGTGGACAGTGTAGTTAGAAGAGACGGAAAAATTAATGTTGCTGTCTTAGACAAAATCACGAGGGATGAAATTCAACTTGGCAAATGTCCGTTCTGAGTCCGTTCTAATTTTCTTCTTCTTTCATTTTTCCCCCCTTTCTACCAACTTTCTACTTCTTAATCTTTAATTTAATTAAATTTTATTATTTTCCTGGAGTGGCCACGCGACCTTTCAAGCTGGATTGCGCACCGTTTTGGAATCCTTACCTGACAGGAGTGTGGCGAGGGGCCGGAGCAGCTGGAGAATATCATCCATTCAGAAAAGTCTCCACAGGGTAAAGCCTGCACCAGTTCTGTGTGACAGCAGGAAGTGTTAGATCAGTGCTCTCAAAACTGGGGAAGGGCTTGGGTGTGTCAGGCAATTTTGCAGTACACGTAATAATTTAGCAGATATCAAGATAAAACAGTATCAACCATAAAATTGATATTTGGCACTAAATTACAAGTTAACAGAAGAGATCACATGAACTGTTGGAACAATACCCATTGTCAAATTTATTGAGAAACAAAGAATGGTTTGGTCATCTAATGAGAATGAAAGCATCGATTGCGGCAGCAAGAGCGTACAACCTGTAAGTCGAAACATCAAGATGCAGGAGAAGACCTAGAAGAATATGGATTGAAAGAGTCACCTTGAGACTGCATAACATCATGACATATCAAGCGACTGAGCGCGCCCTAGCTCGGCTGCCGATGGTCTGATGAACGGCGACGCCTAGCGGAACAAGATGAAGAAATTACCAGTTCTTGTGATATAGGACACTTTGAATTTATATTTGGGGGGGGGGGGGGGGGGGGGGTCCATACGCTCATGGGGACGCCACCTGAAAAACGTTGAAGACCAGTGATGTAGATGATGACGATAATGATGTGTTAGACACAGAACAATCAACCACACACAGCGAATGTCTTTCATTTGTGCAGCGGTTGTGTCCTGGTGTTTAGTATGGCAGGTAGCCGGTTTACATGTGAGCTGGTGAAATACCTTATGTAATAATTCTACGTGTGTACAGTAACCAGCTTATCGTGTCTGTCTACTTCATTAACCACAAACTGCGTTTCTGGTGGCGACTATTGGCTTTGGCGCCTCTAGCAACTAAAATAAGGCATTTACTGCATGAGTATATTTCTGGATTGTTCCGGGTTAATTTACCAGTTTTTTAAATGCGACAGTGAGAGATTTGCACTGGCATAGGAACGTAGCAAGTATGGGGAAACCCGATTGTAGGAAAGTTGAAACCTCGACCAACATTAGGACACAGACAGACAGCGAACTGTTACGTTAGCTATCTCGTCCTGTACACTAACAAATACAATAACAGTTATATTAACCAATTTTTTTCCCTTTTTGACGGTACTCAACAGTACGCAGTACTGGCACCTTTATATTTAGTCACTAATGTAACCTACATTTTGTGGTGAGCACAGGAACCGTTTACTACATACCGGCATATACTATCAGCACCTTTTTTTGTTATTTTAAACAACGTTGGGGGAAAAACTGATAATAATAATAAACTCATTTCAAGGTGAAGTCAAATACTTACCTGCCATTGTATCGCGAGAAAGTTGGGTTACAAAATGTCCTCTCACTAGTGCAGTGTTGTAGCGTGCATCGTAGAATACATGCGTGTACTCTGTAGCACACACAACCAGGATGTGTGGCACAATTGTTAGCTTGCCCGGAAACCACAAGCAACAGCTGGTAGTGTTGACAGCATACCCTCCTCCAAACAAACTCAACAGGAAAGAACAAACTGCAATTTTTTTTAGACTTCGGACTGGACACTGTGGTCTTCGAGCACAACTGTACCAGATAGTTATAAAATAATCTGGCTGCCTGGATTTGTGGAGCAGAAAGACAGACCCCCTGAGCACACACTGCCAGCACTGCCCTTACCTCTCCAGAAGCCAAAGATTGGGATCGGGCCCAGGGGATCCACATTGCGAGAGGAAGCTTTTGGGGACTGGCGACCTTAAAAGTCGCAACGGGACGCATGACTGATGTCTAAAGAAGAAGAAGAAGAAGAAGAAGAAGAAGAAGAAGAAGAAATAATAAGAAGGACGAACAACGGCTATACCTGAATACATCATAAATAGTTCAACCCAATGTGTTGTTAATATTGTCTGAATACTCGTCGTACTGTGTCTGTCGTAATCACAATTCAAATATTGTTTTAAATAATATTGATGCAAATTGCATAATGTCTGAAAAAAAAATGATTATATAATATTTAAAATATTAGACGTTTTCACGGAAATCAATGAATACGTTATGTCCCTAAATAAGACTTGAGCGTGAATTTTTTTTTTAAATTACAGTTCTCCTCTAATGATTGGTGAAGTGACTTGGTTGGTTAGTTAATTGATTAGTTCGTTCTTGTTTTTCTCCCTCCTATCCTCTACATTATTATCCTTTCTCCTTCCTCTCCCTTCTCCTCCATCCCTCTTCTTGTTTTCCACCTCCTTCTCTTTCTTCGGCCAGGGGAAAAAAAAAAGGGGGAGGGGGAGGTTCTTTAGTTTATGGTCCAATTCTAGACATCAAACTTCTTGCCATGTCGTACTTCTTGGTTTCATGTTGCCCCGCCCCGCCCCCTTTTGAACAGTTGCTGGTTGGCCACGT